GGGTGACAAATTATATGGTGACTTTGAAGATGTTTAATATCACTTATTCTAATCACCTTGCTTTATAAATAAACATAGGTCTAGAGAATTAGGTAACTTGTTCAAAAGCACATGACTAGTTCAAAGTCCAAACTAGAATTTAGAGCCAGGGCTCCTGAAAAGCACCAGAGAGTTCCTGAAAATAACAAGGAATTCTTTTGTAGTGATTTCAATATAAACAAGAGCACACAGTTTACCTGAATGGGTGATCATATGACGTTTTAGCTGATTAGCTGAAATAAATTTCTTCATACATTCTTGGCAATCAAATATCTCATGAATCTGAAAAGGTTAAATTGACAGTTAAATCAACTGTCAAATCCTAATATGTGATATACGGCTCAAGCAAAAATGTAAACAGGTGGACAGTTGCTACTATAATATCCAAGCTACCCATTATAATTCAGCCCTAATTTATTCATACTATCCAATATAAATTGAAAATGCAATGAACATAAGTTGCCTAGTAAAAACATATCACTAAAAGAAAACAAGATTCACAATCCTTAAATATTTAATATTAAATTTGTAGTCTGTAAAAACTTATAACCAGTAATTCTAACTCTATTGTTGTATAAAAATTTAGACTTAGAAATAAATATGGGCAGCACCTGTGGCTCAAAGGAGTAGGGCGCTAGCCCCATATGCCGGAGGTGGCAGGTTCAAACCCAGCCCCGGCCAAAAACTGCAAAAAAAAGAAAGAAAAGAAAAGAAAAGAAATATATAACCTGCAGGTAATAAACAATATGCCCTTTACAATAACCAACAATATTTTAAGCTTAAAAGTATACATTACAGAGCAAAACATTTAATTACAGTGAAAGGCCAGAAGACAAATGATTCTGAAAAGCAGTTAGTTCCCAATAAAGACTCATATGACAGGAAGACCATGATTTAAAATTTAAAAAAGGAAAAATATAAGCCAAAGGATACGAAGTAGCAGATATTCAAAATAAATAAATCTGTAGAACTAATGTAAAACATGAGGATTATAGTTAATAACAGTATATTGTATTCATGGTTTTTGCTAAATGAGTAGATTACAGCTATTCTTGCCATGGGGGGGAGGGAGGAATAACTGGTAACTGTGAGATAAAGGATGTGTTAGTGTCTCACTAACATAACCGTTTTACCATATATGTGTCTCATAACATCCTGTTGTATACTTTAAATATAAACAA